CCAATCAGCAATCAGCTCCCAAATATAATTCTTATAACTGACCAACCAGGTTAGCAGGATTGGTTACCTAGCAGGACCACTTATGCTCGCCATGGCGACCAGCGGCTCCACAGACCCGAACTTCTTCAGGTTGGTCCACGACGTGCTGCGCTTGAGGGTGCCCTTGCCGCCCTGCTTGTGGATGACTTCGAGCGGGTGCCCGGCGCCCTTGGGCGTGGCGGGGCACCTGGCCTCGGCCTCCTCTTCAGCCGCGAGCTGGCCCAGCTCCTCGGCGAGGATGCACATCTCGAACGACACCGTGGCCCGCTTCGTCACGCGTCGCTCCTTGACCGTGGCCGCCGCGTGCGAGCTGCTGCGAGGTGAGCACGAGTCGAGGGTGTTGCTTCGCTCGCGGCGCACGGCGTGCGTGAAGGTCGTCATCGTCGGCGCCTCGGCGTCGGCGCTCGACGCGCTCCTCTCGCGGTGGCAAGACGTGACCGCGTCACCGGTGTTGGTGGTAGTGGTAGTGGTACTGGTGGTCGACTTGGTGGTCTCCTTGCGGGTCCTGAACAGGCCCGTGAAGGTTCGTCGCCTTCGCAGCGAGGACGTATCCTCCCTCTTCTTCAAGTCTTCCATCGTTTACTCGCGTGCTCCTTCAGTTATGTTGAGGACTTGGCGAGCTTCTGCTTCTTCTTCTTCTAGAGGATGACCAAGCCAGCCTGTTACGAGAAGGTAGTGGGTGGGTTGTTGTGGTCGGTCGGTCGGTGGTGTTGTCTTCGGCTGGCTGCGCGTTGGGAAGAAGAGGTGCGGCCAATGCTGGGTTTATTTTTATGTGGTGCTGTGGCGTGACGTGATTTGATAGGTACCGGCCGCGGGTCCGAGGAGAGCGGGATTGAGACCTGGTCGGCGTGACCATGGCGAGTTGCCCGTGAGCTGGGATGGTGCAACCACCAATGGCGCGAGTTCCGTGTTAACATTGGTAGCTAGGAAACGGCTAGCAACGTTGCCGCGAGACGGCTCCCAGATGTCGTCTCTCGAACCAGAGCTAAAACCAGATCGCAGGGTGAGGCGCCTCGCAACATACCATGAAGAGGTGACCGATGACCATCACACCAAGCACTTGTCCTTAATCGCGCCCTCCGTGCAGGCCGCATCTCCCGGTGAACAGAAATTGCTCACGCCTTGCAATACCACACCCGCGAGCTACTTTAGGCAGGACAACCGCTCGGTGCTGGCCCAAGAAGCGCAAACGCGACATCGGTGGGATCTACGGTGGAGGTGAGCCTGCTGAGTCAGACAGTCAGTTAACGACCGCTTTGCTTGGCGCGTAGCGGCCGACTTCCTCTGGATTTTCTCTTTTACAGAAGAGAGAAGACGGACGAGAGGCACAACCTGAACCGGTTGTTGCTCAGGAGGAGGATCCATTGCCGTTGTCCTTGGTTGTCTTCCAGGCCTTGAGGCTGCTTCCGATGTTGCTGAATGTCGTCGACTGCTTCCACCGGCTGAAGAGCTTGTTGACCGTTGGTTCGTCCTGACCGGCTGGCGATGATGATGACGGAATCGCCGCCGCCGCCGCCGACGACGACCACGACGACGAGGAAGACAGCTGGCTCCCCTCTCCCTCTTCGCTCGTCGCGCCGCGCGATGTGGATGCGGACGTGAATGACGTATCCCTCCTCTCCGGCTGTGTCTCCTCGCTCTTCTTCTTGTTGGGCGTCATCGGTGTCCCGGCCGTCACCTTAATCACAAATAGATCACCGCAGCGGTGGTGATCATCAGCAGGTGGTGGTGCACGCAATTCGTCACAGCACCACGAGCATTTTAGCCCCGGCGCGCAAACAAGACGCAAAGGCCGGGTACCTCCATGTCGTGAACCATCGACGTGACCGTCTTCTTGAACGACGAGTCCATCACCTGTTACGTTTTTGAGTGTCGTGTGCGGTCGTGCGGTCGTGTGCGTCAGTGGCGGAAAGCCGTGCTGAGCCATCAAGGCTCACGGTGGGGGCAAGCGTTACCCCAAAGTCGTTTTGGAGGGAGGCGAGGCCGGGCAGCAGTCCGTCACGAATCACCTCTTGCGAGAGAAGTACAGCCGAGTCAAGGTTGCAGGCCCATGCGTACAAGGCGGAGGTGTGGGTGGTGTGGTGGTGGTGGTGGTGGTGGTGGTGGTGGTGGTGGTGGTGGTGGTGGTGGTGGTGGTGGTGGTGGTGGTGGTGGTGGTGGTGGTGAAAGGATATCACTCCCGTGGAAGGCCTGGAACGCGTCGAGCAGTGCCTTGGCTATGCTCTGCAGAAGCGAAGTGTCAGTGTGCGTGTGCGGTCGGTGTTTGTCACGTCGTGTTGTGTGTGTCGTGTCGTTGATCGAGTGTCGTGTGTGGTGTGGTGTGTCGTGTGTGGTGTGGTGTGTCGTGTGTGGTGTGTGGTGTGTCGTGTCGTTGGTCGTGTCGTGTGTCGTTGGTCGTGTTACCTTACGCTGTGCTGTGTCTGTACAAGTGTTGTTCTTCTCGGCCATCCGCACCAGCTTCGGCAGCAGGACTTTGTAACAAATGGTGCACAATGATGGTGACGACGATGACGATGACGTTATCAGAAAAAAAAATCACTCTCGCAGGCAGCAATTGAGGTGGGGAGCATACAGGCATCGCGGAAGACAGCTGTAACTTGGGGAATGATCGAGGCAAAGGCGTTGATGAGTTCCTGTGGCGAGACAAGATTGGGTTAGCACTAGACACACACACTCTAAAGTATGCAAAGAATGCTGTGTTTTTGGGGGGGAGGGGAGGGGTACCTGCTGCACGCCGCTGCCCTCGTCCTGCTCCCAGGTCTCGAACTGGACGTTGATCCGCTCGAGCAACTGACGATGCCAAAAGTGAGGAAAAGGAAAAGAAAGAAAAGAAAAGAGGAGAAAAGCTCTTGCAGTGTGGGGCGGGGTACGAGGTTGTCGGGAAAGTTGATCGCCACGTTGCCGATGGGCACTATCGCGGCAGCGCGCACCGATGCCTGTGTGTGTCATGTGTGTCGTGTGTGTCATGTGTGTGTGTCGTGTGTGTCGTGTGTGTCGTGTGTGTCGTGTGTGTCGTGTGTGTGGTGTGTGTCGTGTGCGTCGTGTGGTATACGTCAGAGATTTCGCGGGCGAAGAGCGCCGTGTGGCGTGAGTGTACCTCGATGTCGTTGCCCAGCGTGAGGAGGGCCGGCAGCACCCGCTTCGTCACCTTCGCCTTCTCCATGTACGTGGTCTGCACAAGTGCGGTACCGACGTACAATCAGTAAAAAGGTGGCCGTGTGGTGTGTGTGTGGTGTGGTGTGTGTGGTGTGTGTGTGTGTGTGTGTGTTGTGTGTGGTGTGGTGTGTTGTGTGTGTGGTGTGTGTCTTGGGGCGGCGGCAGGTACCATGTGATCGAAGGTCTTGACGAGCGTCTGGCGCACTTGGGCGGAGGGATGCACCACCAGATCCCACAGGAAGGTCAATATGACGTCCCGCATCTCCTCCGATCGCTTGCTGTTGGTGTCGTTGGTGTCGTTGGTGTCGTTGGTGTCGTTGGTGCCGTTGGTGTCGTTGGTCGTGTCGTGTGTCATTTGCCCAAGGTGAGTGTCACTGTCAGCGAGAGGGACATTCGCGCGCCGGCGCGCGTCATCACCGGAAGAGAGCTACGGTGCGGTACCACAACAGCTCCATGCAGTCGTTGGCCAGGGCGAGGTGCGAGTGGTTCCAGCCGCTCTCCTCGAGCGCGATGTTGATCGTCAGCTCCCTGCGTTGATTGGGGTGTCACGGGAGGGGGAGGAGGGGAGGTGCGTCAACAGAAGACAATCGCTCGGTTGGCAAGCGCCCGACGTGCGACGTACCGAAGGAACGCGGTGAGCTTGTCGTTGCCCAGGAATGGCAGGACGCCCACGGCGAAGACCTGGAGCGCCGCAAGACGCCGGGCCTCCGATTCTATATGTGACACGCACGACCGCACACACACGACCGCACACACACAGCGCACGCACACGCACACGCACACGCACACGCACACGGTCGTGGTGAGACACGCGAGCACACGACAGGCGAAGCTCCCAGGCGGCCAGGGCGGTACCGGGTGCGTTGATCTCCCGCAGGAATTGCGGCTGGAGCACGTACTGCACGAACGCCTCTCCCGTCTCGCGGCACAGTCGCATCACCACGCCCGTCATGCCCTGGAGAGAGGCGGCGGTGGATGATGAGTGGGTAATTAATTTACAGCACTTTTCGAAGCGTGTGGGGTGTGGCGCACCTTGGCCATGATGTTGAGCACCTCGTGCGGCTTCGACTGCTCGGAGACGCCGATCATGGGCACCAGCAGGTCGATCTAATAATAATTATAATAATTATTATAAATATAAATAACAATAATAAATAAATAAATAATTCTTGAAAAAGGAATCTGGTGAAAAGAAGGCCGTCAGGTACCAGCTTGGGGATGTAGACGAAGGTGAGCCACTCGAGCGCAGGCCACGTCGTTCCCTGATGAGCGCGGTTGGGGGTCAAGCCAAGCTGGAGATCGAGACCTCCAGACTGGTGGTGGTGGCAGGTACGTACCTGCTCGAGATTGGTGGCGCAGTGCTCCTTGAGGTACTCGGCCAGCTTGCGGGTGAGATAGCGCCGCTGGTGGGCCGACAGAATGCACAGCGAGTCGCTGCGGAACGCACCACAACAAACGAGCCGTGTGAGTGAGAATTGTGCTGTGTGTGTGTGTGTGTGTGGTGTGTGGTGCGTGTGCGGTGGTGCGTGTGCGTACTTGAGCGTGTTGCTGCGGTGGCGAGTGGCGGTCTTGGCCTCGTCATCAGCGGCCGCTGAGAGAGCGCTGGCGGCGAGCTCGTCATCGGAGGGCAGCGATTCGCCAAAGGGCGAGGACATCAGCACCGACTCGACGAAGCGTGGAATGACAAGCGCGAACGACGACAAAAACACTTCCAGGTGGGCCAAGCGGTGTTCGTTCACCTCCGTTATCTGCAGCCGTCATCAGTGTCGTGTGCGTGTGTGCGTGTTGTGTGTGTGTGCGTGTGTGTGTGTGTGTGTGTGTATGTGTGTGTGTGTGTGTGTGGTCATATGTGTGTGTTGGAGAGTGTCCGCACCTCTGAGAAGTTCTGGATCTGTGCCAAGAGCGTTGTGAGAAGGCGGGACGACATGTAGTCCAGCGTGTCCGCCCAATCCACCAGCATCGGCAAAAATATGTCCTATCATTGCCGTCATGGAAAATTGATCAGTAAAGCGAAAGCGAAAGCGAAACAACAATAGAATGAAATGTTATTTGGCAAATGATACCTGAGTCATCTGCACGACGGACGGGTCGGGATCTTTGAGGAGACGGAACAGCAGCACTTGGATTTGTTGGTATTTGTTGGCCTCGTTATCGTCGAGGCAGCTGATGAGGATGCCCAGATTGCGCGCCACCGCCAAGCGCACGAGGGGCGATTTGTCGTCCAGCAGTTGAATCAAAATCGACAGTATGAGCGAGGCCCGCAGCTCCTGTCGTGTGCGTGTGCGGTCATGCGTGTGCGGTCGTGCGTGTGCGTGTGTGGTGAGTAAATGATGATCGTTTCGCAGAGTTTAGTTCAGGTGAGCGTACGGTTTGCACGAACGGAGCGAGGGCACCGCAGGACTCGGCGACCAGGACCCGCCGCTCCTTGTGCTTGGAGGAAATCTGTTCCCAGCACTGGGGCAGCAGTTCGGAGCCCGTTCGGTCCTGCCCGATGATCTGCGCCAGCGCAACACAGCCGGCCATGATAATCTGTCGACAGCGCGCAGACGACACACACACGACACACACACGACACACACGACACACACGACACACACACCGTATATCCATCAGTTCACGACACAAACCCGTGAGTGTTCGATAACTGGCAAACAAGACAGACTGGGGAGGTAGAGTTACCCGTCGCTGGTTCTCGTCGGGTATTTTGATGAGGTTGAAGAGCATTTGTGTGAGGTGGTCTCGCGTCTTGGTGTCCGGGTGCTGGCGGATGGCCACCAGGATTACCGGTATGAGCTCCTGGGTGTTGGTTGGCCAAGCACAGCATGAGTCACACGGCAAAACGGACAACACACGACACACACACACACACACGACACACACGGCACGCACACGCACGACGACGTACCTCGCGCGTGTTGAGAAGCACACCCGGAACGATATGCGGGAGGCATTCGGCTACGATCTTGACTGCGCCTTGGTTGTCCCGCTCCACCGTCACAATGCGCTCCACCTGTGCGCGCGAGTAATTGGTGTCATCCGCAGCCAGAGACATATCATCAGAGCATGTCCAGACGAGACAATGCGCCCGAGCGAACCTCTTTCTGTATGCGCGTCGCATCGGCAATGGATGTCTTTCGCAGATTCCGGAGCAGTCGATGACTGCGCCGTCGCTGTTGAATGAAAGAAGAAGGAAGGAAAGCGAAAGCGAAAGAGAGAGAGAGAGAAAACGTGAGTGTGAATATCGCAATGCGCTCTCCATGCACGCTAGGAAGAAAGGAATGAAACTACGCACGCGCATGTTTTCCCTGTTCTTGGCGTCCTGCTCTTGCGAGTCCTCCGCTTCCATGGCTTGAATTGGGGTTGCTTCCACCAGCTCGCTTCCACCGGTGGCGCTGTCGCCCGCGGCTGCTGCTTCGTTGCTGTCGGCCTTGGCCTCTTCCTCTTCTTCGCCCTCCTTGGTCACCAGTTCCAACGGCGGGGGCGACGCCGGGCGCTCGGAGGGCTGGCTCTGCCTGAGGACCGGTACCGGCGTGAGGCTGCCGTCGCGCTTCTTGTCGCCGGTGCGCACGCGCATGTAGTCGAGCTCGTTCTCGACGTGCTGCTTCTCCTCGACCAGCTTGGCGATGCGCTCCTCCAGGGCGTCGAGTCGCTCCTGATACCTGACATTGCTGGCCTTGGCCTCCTTCAACTCCGCCTGTTATGAAGTGCGGTCAGCAGCAGAAAACACTTCGCGCGCACTCACGCTCGCACCAGTCACCGCGCGCACACACCACACGACACACAAAGCAACACAACACAACACGACACGACACGACACGACACGACGCATGACACACACCTGCACAGCGCTCAGGTGTTGGACAGCCGGGTTGTGGTGGTAGTGGCGCTGGAGCGCGGTGAGCGACTGTGGGGCTGATGCTCCGGCTTTGCCTTTGTGTTCTTCTTCCGGGAGCGGGTCCAGCTCGTCCTCGGCCTCCTCGACGAAGGTGATGGCCGTCAGCTTGTAGCCACGCTCGACCAGGTACCGCTTGACCATGTGGTTGATCGTGCGGCGCTCCCTCTCGCTCGGCGGGCTGTTGTCCACGGGTCCCTTCGCCGCCGCTGCCGCCGCCGTCTCTGCCGGCTCACCGCTGGGCCGGCCCACGCCCGAGGCCCCAGCGGCCGGTGGCTGGTGAGTGCGAAGCTGCGTGAGCTCGGCCTTGAGCGACTGGTTGTCGTCCTTGGATAGGCGGAGCTCGTGCTCGAGTCGCACGATCTGGTCCTGTAGTGCGTACGCGAACGTCAAGTAGAGAGCGAGGCGTGTAAGCGAACGTGTCGTGTGCGCACCTCCTTCTCCTTTACGACGCGTGAGAGCTCGTTCGAGGTACGGCCAATGACTGGCGTGCCCCTGCCCGAACCAGGCGAGCTCTGCCAATAAAGATACATGATTAAGAAACATGAATGATGAATTAAATGAATAAATAAATCTTGAGGGGTACCGTGGTGTCGTTGTGGCCTGCTTCGCTGGCCTCGAAACGTTGCCTGAGGAAATCTAATTCTTGGCCTTTGGGGCACTCTTGATAGAATTTGAGGGCTGTCTGCAGCAGGTTCTTCTCCACAAGGTAGCGGCCCACAGCCTCCTCGCTCATGGTGGCCGCATCAGTGGTCACGCCTTGGGCAACGCTTTCTACATCTTCCTTCTTTCCTGCTCCACTTTCCCCATCTGTCAATCGTGTTGCCGAATCGCCCTCATCCTCGAAAGAGAGCACTTCATAATCGTCATCGAAGGGATTCCTGTGCTCCATCTTCCTCTAGGAAATCAGAACAAGCGAGCCGGGTGCACACTCTCTGTGCATCGATTCACCACCAGTGGTTATATTTTTAATCTATTTTTGTTTCTTTGGATCAAAGCACAAAATAAGAAAATAAACAAATTAAATTCACTCTTCATTTTCGTCTTCTTCGGAGGCGCTGCCGTCGAAGTGGGTCAAGGCCGTCTGCTTGCGGGAGCGCTCGTCGGTGAGTGCGCACAGCTGGGCCAGGTCGCTGGGCGGACATTGCCAGTACGGAATGCTTGCAGGCTGCTTGCTCAACCACGTGAAGGCAGCCACCACGCGCTTCTCCATCTCTTGCCTTACCTCTGTGATTGGCGTGTGCGGTGGTGCGTGTGCGTTTGTTGGTGTGAGTGGTGGACCCGAGGGCGGAAACGAGTCCTCGTCCTGGAGAGCCGCGGTGGTACCCCGAGGCGTGTAACCCTTGTCGGACATGGCGAAGGCCGTAACGAGAAAGATCACCGGTCCTGCATAGTAGGGGCACTGATGCGCCGGCTCCACAAACGTCGGAATCTGCACCCGCCAACGCAAACGCGAACGCGATGCACGACAGCACAAAGCTCAGCAAACATGCCGCTGCTTCCACACGCGGGGGAGAAGAAGCCAGGCACCTTGAGGCGCTCACGGATGCTGGCAAGGTCAACGTCACTGGTTGACTTGGGGTTGATCAGATGCAGATTGAGGCACAGTCCC